CATTACACAGTTTACTCAACTTTCAAACCACCAAGTTTCTAATATGAGGCACTGCATGATATCAGGAGCTAGCCCAGATTGTAGCATCAGCATTCTTGGTGGTGAGGCGTCATGACCTGCTGTGGTTATTTGAAGGTGATGAGATGACCTGCCACATCTGTTTGAGGTGATGTCACAGCCTGTGGAGCAGAGGTATAATGCCCTGTTTAGTTTTATCTTCTTTGTACGGCTAAAAAAGGCAGCAAGTTTAAGCAGGTAACACTTTTTTAAAAATGTATTTTATTTTTGTTTAATTTGCTTTGACTTATTAAAAAGTTTAATAGTATCTTATGTTAGATTTTTCTAATCTAGACATGTACAAAATCATCCATCAATATATTTATGATATCATATGGTCAGTTTCGAAATGTATTAAATTTTAAAAAAGCTAATACACACAAAGAAAGTATAAAATAGAGAGGGTCTAACTTGCATCATAGAGCAGAAAACTTATTTATTCATAGATAAAATGGTCAAATCTGAGTAGACAATCACAAATGAATGGGAAAATTACTATACACAGCTGTAAGCACTGAAAGAAGATCAATTAATATGTACCGGCGAGATTAAGTGACAGTCTTTTTAATAAAATGCATTAAAAAAATTACACATGCAAAAGTTTCTGGTTTGCAGAAAACAAATAAAAATTACATTTTCAACCACTCTTTGATATGGCGTACTGATTAGCTATTAAATCATTACCTCTAGCATCACTTTTAAACTCTATTAGACAATTTAAAATAAAATCTTGAAATTGGAAATTTCTAAACATCTCCTTCCATAATACATTTGAATCATAAGTGTTCTTGTCATGTTTTTACAACACATGATGGCGCTGTTTACTCACAGAAGAAAGATTTCTGCATTGAAACAAACTGAGTTGTTATCGTGATGGAGACTGTGCCATAAATAAGCAGTAGTTTTGTGCAGTATTTGTCACTATTATTTATATACAACAGTTATCTTTTCTTTACAAGAGGTTAAGAAAATATTAAACGGTAACAAATCAACGCACAGTGTAAAGATATCTGACTTTCAGTGTTTGAAACAGTCCAGTCTCAAACATCAATTTCAAAAGACCAAAAAGTGTAATGCTTCATTTTGTTAACAGTTACAAGGTCACTGTTCATTTATTCTTAAATGAAGCTTTCTGAGATTCATTCTCTGATATTTTATAATCACTTAGTGGGAAAATTTCCTGATTCATTTTTTTGCTTTTGTTTGCTTCAAATCCCACGAGAGTCAAACAAAAGCATAAATCAGAGGCCACAATATTCAGATTCTATAGAAAACATGGAAACTGTAGAGTATTTACACTAAACATGTTCATTGGTTCCCTTCAATAAAAATCAATCAGTTCATCAAATAAAATCTGTTAATTGACTCGATTTGATTGACAGGACAGTTGATTAGAGGTGCTGAGTTTTCACCACCATCATTGAGACAGGGACTGAAGTTTGGGTGGAGTTTCTGAATGAAGGAGCAGCTAGTAAAGGAGTAGATAAGAGCTGCAGTATCCACATCATAAAACGAGACCAGACCCTCCTCATAATCCACAAACACCCCCACCTTCTCAGGACCAGACTGAAGACAGAGACGGACTGAAGGGCTAGCAAAAGCTCTGTACTCATTTCTATTCCTCAAGCCTAAACTCCAGAAACCATCCTGAGGAGTCAGCGTGATTTTTCCCTTCCTGTTGACCAACTCGCTGGCCACTCCTAAATCCCAGGCAGTCTTTCCTTTAACCTGAACCTCGAAATAAAATCTGCCTGATGATAAACTCTGCTTTCCTAAAACATTAGGACATGGAGAGAATCTCTGTGGGATGTCTGGAAGATTCTTCCTCACAAGAGGTCACATCCACTGCATACTGCTGGACCCTCTCCAGCTCAGCCTCAAGCAGCTTCTTCTTCATGCGTTTCCTGAGTTTCTCCTCCAGCTGAGCCACAGCTCTAACCACAGTTCCCTCATATGAAGGTGGATGAACTCTGATCTCTGTCCAGTCCTTTGTGGGTAGAACAGTTTTCAGGGATGAGAAGCTTTGGAGGACGTGTAGGTGGTCTTCAGAGTGTGAGAGCTGCTCCATCTGAGAGCTTGTCTTCTTCAGCTCAGAGATTTCTTGTTCCAGATCCTTGATGAAACCTTCAGCCTGTTTCTCTGTTGTCTTCTGTTTGCCTTCGATCTCCTTCATGAGCTTCTTCATTCCTCTCTCAGCAGACTCCTGCAGAGCAGTGAACACCTGAAAACCTTGTGCTTTCTCTCTGTCTGCAGAATCTTTACTCATCTTTACTGACTTTTTGATCTCCTGAATCTTCAGTTGTCTCTTCTGGATCATCAGCTGAATTTCAGCCTCTGTCTTCCACAGCTCTGCCTTCTTTCCCTCATATTCTTCTCTCAGAGGAACAAACTCATGACTCTTGTGTTTGAAAACAGAGCAGAGTGTGCAGACACATGTCTGGTCAGTCTTACAGAACAGCTCCAGAGGTTTATCGTGCTTCATACACATCCTGCCTTCCAGGTTCTCCAAGGGCTCTACCAGATGATGTCTTCTCAGACGCGAAGCTGTCAGATGAGGCTCCAGGTGCACCTCACAATAGGAGGTCAGACACACCATGCAGGACTTCATGGCCTTCAGTTTGCTTCCAGTGCAGATGTCACAGGGAACCTCTCCTGGTACGGCAGCTTGTTGCTCTGAGCTGGCAGACAAACTCTGCAGCAGATCATTCCTGCAGATTCTTTCTAAAACCTTCCTGGTCACCTCCACAGCTCCAGGAAGAGTGTAGGTGTGCACCATCAGGTCCACGGTGTCCCGTCTTTTTGCAGTCTGCAGTCGGCTCTTTTTGATGGTTGGTCGACTGGCAAGGACTTCTCCCTGCTGCAGGCGCCACTTAAAGCCTTCAAACTCATCGTCTGTTAAATCTTCCAGGGTGTTTAGGAGCTCCTCTGGTCTCATCATGGCTTTCTGATGAAGTCAGAAGAATATTTTAGCAAATATACATTTGGGAATATCTCCCGTACACGTTAACAACAAATATACTTTTTTCCTTTTTTCTGTGGGTCTTTTACATCGAATGTATTAAATTGTGTAATTTAAACTTTTTACTCAAAATGTGTTTGATGAAAGGCAAGGCAAGAAATGAAACCAGACTTCTTCTTGGTGAGTCACTTTTTCTGGCAGGGACACAAAGGTTGATGATTCAAATCCTGTGTTTTCATGACCTCACTGAGATCAACAAATGCAAATAGCTGCATATCGCCTGATGATGCTTGTAGATATACTTGAGTTTTGGTTTGTTCTGTCCCTGTGTCACGGTCCCGGGTTTTGGATCCACAGTTTTCAATTACAAACTTTAAATTCTTGTCTTTATTTAACATTCTGGTTCTCAGTCTCATTGTTCATTAATCTTTGAGTATTTGTTTCAGTGTTTGGCTGCTTTCAGCAGGTTCAACTTTTATTTTGTAGTGTCTTGTTGTTTCCTTATTCTTCTGTGTGTCCGGTCTGTCAGTTTTGTATCTTTGAGTCTTTTGTTTCCAATAGTTACTTCCTGTTTTATTTTGATAGTCTTTTGTCACCTGTGCTTTATTTTGTGTTCTACTTCTCTTGTCTCATCATCCCTGATTTGTTCCTGCTCCACCTGTTTCCTCTTACCTCTCTACCTTTTGTGTTTATTGTCTCAGTTTCCCATCATTCCTTGTTGGGCATGTGTTTCCTGGTGTTTTCTCTCCCTAAGTTCCAATAGTATTATTCCTTAAAGCTCCTGGTTTTGGGTTTTGTTTCTTGTGTTTTTTGGACTGTTTTTTTTTTTTTTGAACTAAACAGTAGTTAGCCCTGCGGCAGACTGGCGACCTGTCCAGGGTAGCGCTGTACCTTGCACTATTTTATCAACTGATTCACACTATACCCAGGGTTTGCCTCTTATCTGTATTTTAATTTTATTACAGTACAGTACTCAGTTTTTGGTAACCATTGTCCTTCATGTAAATATGTAAAAATCGTGTATGTTTCTGTTCTGTGTCTTGTGTACCGTTTGCTTGTATGTGTCTTTCTTGCTGCTGTTACACCCAAATTTCCCCTTGTGGGACAATTAAAGGATTATTCTATTCAATTCTACCCTGCCTCCCGCCCTGAGACAGCTGGGATAGGCTCCAGCCCCCCCCCCCGGAAAGGATAAGCCGAAGCAAATAGATGGATGGACTAAACAGTATTAAAGACTCGCTTTATGTTCACCTCCATCTCTTGCATTCTGTATTTGCATCAGCAGACTACAAACTTCATTCAACAGACACCTGATCGTGACAACTTTATGTATTTATTGCCACATTTGGCAGATTTTACAGACTCAGCTAGCGAAAAGAAAACGACTTTAGGCTATAAAAACTGTAGTTTGTGACACTGACTTTCGCTACAAATAACAATAAAATGAATAAGCATAAATGAATGAAACTTCCTGTTTGATGAAAGCTGGAAGTTTTCTGTTAATTCTGGTTAAAACACAATAAATATCAGGTGTACTCACCAATAATCAGATTTAAATAAAATATGAACTCAGTTGGATTTTCTTCAGAGAGAAGCACAGAGATGTGTCTCGACTGCAGCTCTGTCATCCACAAACTTTAAGGTGAATCTCATCTGTCTCGTCTCGCTCCGCCTCTTACTGCACCTCTGTTTTCAGGTTTGTTTCCTTCTGCAGGTTCAGACATGATCACAGATACATACATGTGAAACAAGCAGAGTTTAAAATGTTCTCATTTAATTTGAATTTTTTTGCAGCATGGAAGAGCCAGTGTTGGTGAAAGCACTTTGGAAGCATAAACCTGTTGAACTGCAAAACTCCTCAAGTAAGAAAATGTAGCGAAAAAGAAACATTTGATATTTTTCTCCATGTACATTTTTATATTTGTGTTCTATATGATCACTTGGGGAGTAACTTTACAGCAACACTGCAGAAATGACTGACCAGAGAAAAAAAACCTGAACAGTCTAACTCTGCATTAGATTCCAGATGTTTTTTGATCTTCAGTTTTTAACTTTGAACACTTAGTGACTGTTAATAAAGTGACTGCTCATTTTTGCCAGATTTTCTATCATTAAAATGAACTCAAATCCCAGACTTGAGGGTTGAAATAAAAGGAAATAAGTCACAATGAAACACTGGAAGTGAGGTGACTGATTAAAATCTTTAGCGCTGATTCATTTATTGTAAAGAGACGTGAAATTCTCAGTTTTCCTTCCCTGCTCTGTAACATTGTGAGACCTACACTGATGTTGAAGTAGCTGTCGCCTCAGTGTTCAGCACTAACCTGTCATAATCTAAACTGCATTTAAGTAACAGAAGTAGTAACAGTACAACACATAATTTCTCGTGTAATTGTAAGTAAGATTTGACAAAACAAGTGTTTAAGATTACTAAAATTAAAATGCATTGTGGTAATATAAAGAACCAAAATTAGATCAAGGTTGTCCAAATATTTATGGAACTAACTGTAGTTCCAGCTTTATGTAAATATTTCCACCTGCAAATAACTCCACTCGCAAAGCTTCAATGATTATGTGTTTTTAAAATTGTGTTCTTTAAATTAGTCTTAATTTGTTTTTAAATTGAGACTGTGTGTTTATTGATTATTGATGTGTATATTAATCTTAACTCAGTGAGAGGATAATGAACATCTGAACTGTTAGCAACTGTTAGCATGTAACTAACTCTTTTTGTTGCTGTTGATGGGTTCAATGAACCCCCACCCCAACTTTGCTTTGCTAAAAAAATTTTTTTTGTTAATAGTTTCTTTTTTTAGATAGATCAGCTTAAAATACCTTTTTAAAAGTTTGTTCTAGTTATATAAGTGTATTTCACAGTTAGTCTGGCAATAATATAAGAACAGTAGCTCATTTTGGTGAGCTTGTTTGTTTCAGAGTCAGAGAACCGTGTCTGTGAAGGGAGGTTTTTGTACGACTGTTTTTCACTGTGTGAATGAATACTGACTGTTGATGTAGTGTCTGCCCTTACAGTAATAAACTGCTGCATCTTCAGCCTGGACTCCACTGATGGTCAGAGTGAAGTCTTTGCCTGATCCACTGCCTGTAAAACGACTTGAAATACCTGATGCTCGCCGGTTTGACCAGTAAATGAGTAGTTTAGGAGGTTCCCCTTGTTTATGTTGATACCATTCAACAGAGTCAGAATTAATGACAGTATGACTGATTTTACAATCCATGTTCACAGATGCTCCCACAGCAGAGCTCACTGCTCCAGGCTGAGTCACTGTGATCTGTCCTCTGGACTCTGAGGACACAGAGACAAAAACATAAAGCAGCTTCATGGTTTTGTGGGCTTCATTTCAGAGGGACAGATGTTGATAGAGGAGAGGAGTTTGATTCTCTGGACTTTACCTGTGA